TGCGGCGGCCTGCCTTCCCCGGCAGATGTTTTTTGTTGTTTGTTTTTTTAAGCGCTCACGGAAGGAGAAGTAGGAAATGTGCCCCCATTTTAAAGATGGGGGAACAAAGGCCCTGGGATCTCCAGTAGGATCGACATTCGCCCCACCAGTCCGCGCTGGGGGCCCTCGTGAGGGGAGGGCGCCTGACTCCCCGGAATGGGTTTTTGTGTGTGTGTTGAGTTTTCGGGGTTGATTTTGGAGGCTTTTTGTTTTTGGTTTTTGTCTTCCTTTATTTCATTCGTTTTGTTCGCTTTCGAAGGGCTCTCTGGCTGGAGAGATCCCCGACGTCAGGCGGCGTGGGGGCGCCCCGCTGGGGGCGGGGTGTGGGGGCAGGAGTTGGGGTGGGGGGAGTTGGAGCACCGCAGAGACCCCTGTGACTGAGAAACTGCTCCCCCACCCTAAAGGGCCCTGGGCTTCTTGTCCCGCAGCCACCCCCCGGAAACAGCGCCGGGAGAGGACGACGTTCACCCGGGCGCAGCTAGACGTGCTGGAAGCGCTGTTTGCTAAGACCCGGTACCCAGACATCTTCATGCGGGAGGAGGTGGCACTGAAAATCAACTTGCCTGAGTCCCGGGTGCAGGTAGGGCAGCTGTAGACAGCCCTATCCTTCCTAACCGTGCCGCCCCTCCCCCAGCACGGGGTGTGCCGAGGGCTCAGGAGAGTCCCGGGCCTTAGAGGTGACCAAGGGAAGGCTCGAAACCAAACCTTCCATAAGAGGCTGCAAACTCTCCTGAGGCCCCTCGAGTGCCCGATTTCCCCCAGAGCTCCTTTTTGTCCCTCCACCCCCATTCAGTCCTACAAGCAGGGTCTTTCGCTCAGGTCTGTGAAGTCGGACTGGTGATTTTGATTCCTTGAGGAAGGCAGGCCTAGAGTAAGCCTTGGGCACCTGGCCTGCGGAGGCCCAGCCTTGGCGGCAGACTTGGAGCACTGTCACACACAACTGTAATGCTTCCCTTCTCCCCTGCACAGAGCCGCCCCCGTTCTCTCATTCACTGTTAAGGGTGGAAGAAGCTTAGCTCCCGGATACTCCCAATATTTTTACAGATGGAGAAACAGTACACGATTTGCTCAAGGTCACACGTCGGTTGGTGGGAGAGTCGGCTGTGGAATCAGCTGGTGCACTGAAATTATACAAGAGTGTTTTCTTTGACTTTTTAGGGATTGAACAGGCTCTGCGAGCTCTGAGCCATCTCGCAGATAAAACATCTGCATAATATCCCTGGTGACCCCTCCCCCCTTCCCTGAGGCCCCCTTAACTTGACCTTGAGCTGGAGAGGGAAAATCAAGGTTAACTTGCCTGGAACTCGGGTCCCACACCGAGTTCTGCAGGAATGATTAGCACCTAAACTTACATACACACCACAGACTCCCCTTCAGCTGGGACACAGCGGAGTGAACTGCAAACCAGGAAAGAGGCCTTTTCAGAATAGGATGGAAGAACTTGTTAGGCTTAAAGGAAAGTCTTCACTGAAAGAAAATAAATGACCTGAATGGTTGGTGATGCTTCACTCAGCCTTGGTGGCATCGTTTTTACCACAGAGCACTCGTATGGAGAGTTCATCCAAGAGGGGGCAGCTCAGGACTTGTTGCCCAGAAACTGCTGGTAGTTTCTCTGATAAGCCCCCTCCCACACTAAACACAGCTCCTTCATTCTAGAACGCGGACAGTGCTGGTAAAAAGAATTCCCAGAGTCGCAGGCAGAGGCTGAAGTTGGCAAGCCTATGAGCATAGTACAGGAATCGGTGCTGATGGCACGACCCTGAAGGCACAGATTCTCATCTCAAACTTGAGACTAGTAGGGAAGTCTCAGAGCAGAGCACCCAGGAGACACTCCACTTAACGTAAAGAAGGTTTTGCCCAAGAGTGGCTTTCAGACCTCCTCCCTCACTTCTCCTTGGAGCTTTCTTTTGTGAGTGAGTCTTTCTAGGAGAGACAAAAAGTAGAGGGATGAAACCAGCCTCCATATTAGCAACTGCTCCCTAGAAGATGGACTATAAACTGTTTGTATTTACACTGTTCTTGTAGGCATGTAACAACAGAATTGTTTTCACTCCCTGTGTTTTCCTCCAAACGACATAAATACATTCTATCCCATTGTGAGAGAGTCCCCAAATACAGCTGGGTCTATGTGTATGTGTGTATTCCAGGTGAATGAACATAGAAAAGTGAGGTGTAGAATTGTTAGCCATATGATTGGTCTTAAATTTTACTCTAGGTTGGGAGTAAAGCAGAGTCAAATGCTTTTAGATAGAGCCGCCCCAACATTTTTTACAATTGCAGGGGCATATATATGAGAGTACTATATAATAGGTTTTCAGTGGCAGGAGAGTTTGTCAGCTCAATCTGTCCATGTAGGAGAGATTATAACCTGGGAGCCACCCTTGTTCTTAAGGAGTTGTTGAAACCACATTAAAGAAGTTTCTTTCCCTTTCAAGGTATGGTTTAAGAATCGAAGAGCTAAGTGCCGCCAACAGCAGCAGCAACAACAGAATGGAGGTCAAAACAAAGTGAGGCCTGCCAAAAAGAAGACATCTCCAGCCCGGGAAGTGAGTTCAGAGAGTGGAACGAGTGGCCAATTCACTCCCCCTTCTAGCACCTCAGTCCCGGCCATTTCCAGCAGCAGTGCTCCTGTGTCTATCTGGAGCCCAGCCTCCATCTCCCCACTGTCAGATCCCTTGTCCACCTCCTCCTCCTGCATGCAGAGGTCCTATCCCATGACCTATACTCAGGCTTCAGGTTATAGTCAAGGATATGCTGGCTCAACGTCCTACTTCGGGGGCATGGACTGTGGATCTTATTTGACCCCTATGCATCACCAGCTTCCGGGACCAGGGGCCACACTCAGCCCTATGGGTACCAATGCAGTTACCAGCCATCTCAATCAGTCCCCAGCTTCTCTCTCCAACCA